GGCCCAGGTTATTGTAAGAGATTGCAACAGAATCATGCTCAGGTCCGAGTTCTTTCAGCTTAATATCCAGCGCTCGCTCGAAACAGTCTTTTGCCTGCTTTAGGTCACCCAGCTGCTGATGGACAAGGCCCAGGTTATTGTAAGGCGCTGAGACAAGTACATGGTCAGGTCCGAACTTTTTTAGCTGAACATCGAGCGCTCGCTCGTAACAGTCTTTTGCTTGCTTTAGGTCACCCAGCTGCCGGTGAACAACGCCCAGGTTATTGTAAGACTTTGCGACATCAACATGCTCAGGTCCGAGCTTTTTCAGCTGAACATCGAGCGCTCGCTCGTAACAGTCTTTTGCTTGCTTTAGGTCACCCAGCTTCCGGTGGACAACGCCTAGGTTATTATAAATATTTGCTTTCTGTAATTCATCACTTGGGTTTCTTAACTCGGCGATTTCTAGGACTGCTGAAAAGTAGCTTCTTGCCGCTGGATATTGGGAGTGCTTGCTGCACATATTTCCGAGAGCTGTAAAGACGTTAGAATAGTCCTGGGAAGTCAGGTTATCGATTTGAGCCATTTGAGATATTCTTTCTTCAAAAGAAAAATCTTCAAAGTCTTTAATCACTTTTACCAAATGAGGAACAATTTTTGTGCCAACGACTAAAGAATCTTGGTCCTTGAATTTGGAGAAGGATGAAGCAGCTCTTAGTATGCATTTAATTTGCTTATCCTTTGCAGATCTCTTTGTTACTGAATTAACAACATAATGGACGATTCCATGCACTCGAATGTAAACACCACTCTCCTCTTCGTCAAACAACAACAATGGGCATCGACTTATCTTCAGCCCAATCGCATCTTTATCTTCCAATTCATTTTCCATTTCCATGATGTAGTCGACCACAATATCTTTTAGGATTGGGTGTGGTGCACAAAGAGAGAGAAAAATGAACAAGTGATCTAGAACTCTGTCGGATTTCATTACCTTTTCCAAGGCGAGTGTTGTCACTGTGGTCATTGTTTTGGGGTAACTTGGGTTTGTTTCGGCAAGAATGTCCTCAATTGTACCTCGCTGGCCTTTTTCAAGTTTCTTCAGAAAGTCGGTCCAGCCGAATTTTGAAGCTATTTTACTTTCTCGAACTTGTTTTACATATATGGCGGCGCTGGCCAAGGCCAGTGGCTGGTAGTCCAAAGCTCGTGCAATTTCTTTTTCTACCTCGCTATCAGTGACACCAGAAAGGAGCCTTAACAAGTAGCTGGCATCATCAGGTAGCATTCCTTTGCTTACTGAGATGTGCTGA